GGACGACGACAACAACAAACAACAAACAACAAACAACAAACAACAAACAACAAACACCAAACACCAAACAACAAACAACAAACAACACCACCACCACCAACAACAACAACAACAGCAACAGCACCAACACCACCACCAACAACAACAATAACAATAACAATAGCAATAACAACAACATCAACAACAACAACAGCAACAACAGCAACTACGAGAATCCGCCTCGCGGAATTCCACTTCATCCACGCACCCAGGGACAGTGAATGACCGTTCGGTTCAGCCCCTCACTCTGATGATGTTCCAACCTACTTTGACCTTGATCACCAGAAAAAGTTTCGAGCGCCAACAAAAGTACCGACACTCGAAGGTTTTCACGTGCCGGGCCCCGGGAGACACACGTCCGGCACTGTCTCGACACTCTCTCGACACTTTTCCGGGTGCTCGAAATTATTTCTGGGATGTGGCCCTTAAGTACGATGGGATCAACAGAAGCCCAGACATGATCGCGTCCTCATAACAGAATCGTGACCGTTTTTTTGTCATTGCTTTGCAGATCGGCGCGGGCCCCAAGGCCCCCCCTCAGCCCCCCCCCCCCGGAGTAGATCTTGGCTGTTTGGGGCGCCTGTTTCGAGCAGGTGGGGCCTCCCCCATAATGGGCGCACTGCTGCAAACAGTCGCACTAAGCAGAGGTCCAGAGCCAGACCCTCCCCCCCTCCCCCCCCCCTTCCTCCCAATGTCGAAACGCCAACTAAGAAAAAACACTACGCCCACATCGTGACGGGAGGTTTCGGCCGTTTTCGGTCCTCGGGGGCCCTCGCCGGGCCTCGGGCCCGTGAAAAAACGATTCAGGAGGAATAGCAGGTCGCGGGGAAAGGGTCGGGACTTCCAGGGGCCCTGTATTGCACAAATCAGGAGGCCGCATGTCTGGGATCTGCACTTAGAGAAGGAGAAGGAGCCTCCCGACTCCTCCACGAAGGCCCCCTGCGTATGGTGGAGGGCCGCCCATTTTGGTGGCGGCGCGGCCTGACTCACAATGCCGACGGATGCGTGAGAGGTTGCGGTGGTGGTTGCGCTTCGTGGATAATGTGAAGTCGGGCCTGTCCCTCTACAGGAGGAGTCTTCAAAAATAGTTAAAATAGTATGGAGACGCTTTTTTGGAGCATGTTTCAATCATGTTTGCGTATGTTTGGGGTATGTTTAGCATTTCGTCCAAAATCCTCCTCTAGGGAGACATGCCCGACCTGAGGAGAAGAGTGTCTGCTCGGACGGCCGCCCCCCCCCTCGCCCCTCCCCCCTTCTGCGCGCCGCCGGGTGCTTCCATGGAGTACTGTATCTAGCGCGGTGCCGCCGCGTCAGCGTCGGGGCCCCCCGGAACCAGGTCGCGGCTGCCCAAGAACGGCTCCCTGGGGTGGCTTTGGAGGTCGCTGCTGCACGCTGAAGCGTTTTGCTTCAGGAACACATGTGATCCCCAAGGTGTCCTCAGACCACCTCCCCAGCCCAGGATCGACCCCTAGAAGGTTTCCCAAGTCGACCGGAAGTCCACTCTCGCCGTCGACAGTTCCGCGTGCAAGGAACGAGGAATGGGGAACCGTTCGGCCCACGGCCGCACTTTTCTCGGGCGCGCCAGTTTCAGGGGGCCCGGACGTCGCGCGTTCTGTTTTTGATGTGGCGGCTGCCGTTCGCCGCCGGCCTGGCCGCGCAGGCGCTGGTGTGCCTGTCGAGCCCGCAGCGGTCCGCCTGCGCAGCCGACGCGCTCGCACTGGTCCAGAGCTCCGCGCAGGTGTCCAGGTCTGCCGCGGTCGACTCGGACGCTGGCGCGGCGGTGCACTCAACCTGGAAGGCGGAGCGGGGCCCCCCCCCCGAACCGTGTGTGGTGCACGCTCCGCGTGGTGAGTCGGTGGGGGCGCGAGGTCGCTGTGCGGTCCTGGGGCTCGGGTCGTTTTCCGAGTACGTCTCGGAGGACCGGGGCCTCCAGGGTCCCAGCACCGTGCGGTGGCGGACCGCGCGGTGAGGTCGTTGGGGATTCCGAGGTCACCACGCGGTCCGCCTTTCTCACAGTTCTGGGGCCCCGAAGGCGGATGCAGAGACCGAGATCGTGACGGATGCGGAGGACGCTGGCTGGGAGGATCAGGGGGGCACGATCGGGGACATTTCTCCCAGGACCTCAGGGGAGGAAGAGGAACCAGTGCCGCGGCCCTTCCCTCGTCACCGCGGCTGGATTCGCCTCGAAATCTTTGTCGGAACGTACCCGTGGAGAGGCCTGGGGAGTAGCGGCATCACGTACCGTGTGGCCCCCGCAGAATGATCGACGATGACGACCCTCTGCTCACCGATGGTGCCGCCCTCAGCCGCCGGCCACGGGCTCTGGCTGATAGTCGGCAGTGTTCTTGTTTGGTTCCGAACATCGCGCTGGAAATGCACCTTCCGGCCAGGAAGGGTGCGCCACGATGGGCTCGGGCGATGCGTAATGGGGGGGGCAACACATGGGGGGTGAAGAAGGGAGCACTTTTCGTGCGCTCTGGGGGCTGGAGAGGGGCCCCTCTGGGGCCCAAAAGGGGCACCAAACGCGTACGATTCTTCGCCCCACCGCTGATCGCCCACCCGTGAAGCAGCGGCCAATCGGCGGATGTTGGATCGGCCGAGGTACGCAGTCGGCCCTGAATGGCAGGTGGACCATGCGAAGTCGAGAGTACCCTCGTGTCCTGTCTGTCCCGACCTATGCAGCCCGCATGTCCTTGTGTGTTCCGGGGCCACGTTGCCGTCGGAAGGGTCCTGTGTCCAAACAAGTCCAATCAAGTCCGAAGCCAGACCTGCGACGCCCTGCTTTGTCCAATACGGGGCCCCTGGAACTCCCGATGCTTTCCCAGGACCAGTGTTTACGGGGTGACGTGAGGGGTCGGCCTTCTAAGCTGGCACAGGGGCTTCTGAACTCTGAGCATAACCCATACAGGATCGCGTCGCGGAAAAAAAATAAAACGGGAAGTTTTTCGCTGTTTTCGGGCTCTCGGGGCCCTCGCCGGGCCTCGGGACCGTCAACAAAACGACTCGGGATGACAATTTGTCTTGAGAAAGGGTCCTGACCTTTGGGGGTCGACATCAATTGTTAGAAATCACGACGTCGGGAGTCTGGGTACCCTGACCTCGGCTCCGCCGGCGGGGCTGAAGGGCAACATCAGGGGGGGTGGGGGACATCGACCTGGAACCGGCAATACATCGCCGATAGATCGGCGATCGGCACCCGATAGCAAACCCCCACGCTCCTGGGCATCGGGCCCCTGTCGGCGATACATGGGCGATTGGGGGTCGATGCGTCCTACCCTGAGCATATCCCCCCATACCCTGGCTTCGGGTCCGCCGTATCTCTGGCGATCTCGTAGGTGGGCCGTCGCTGCTCCCCTCGCGATTTCCGCCACATTTTCGAATAATGATCCGCCCCATTTTTCCTGGGGCGGGAATTTCCGCCCTACTGTTTCGCACCGCCTGGGATGCATTTCCAAGACAATCCTGCGTCGGAGAATCGGCCACAGTCCGGTGGATCTGCAGTCAGGGCAAGGGGGAACGGAACACAGCTCCCCCAGCTGTGTGGCTGGTCAGCGGTGCTGCAAGGCCGTCTGCGCCGCCCCTCACGCTGCAGCGGGCTCTGCCGTCGCACGCGCCCTCGCCGCCGCGCTCGGGGACGCTGCACCGCAGCGCTGCGCCTTCTCATGCCTCCCTGAGATCCGACGTTGCAAGGAAGACTCACACACCCATACGAATGTGTTTGCGTAGTCGTTGTGCCGTGCGTTCTCGTTTGCAGGGGAATAGGTTTTGGAGTGCGTTTTGTCGTCGAAAGCTTGGCTAGCTAAGCGCCACGCCCGAAACATCCCTAGAAACCACGACCAGATCCCCAGACCCCAGCTTCCTGCTGCATCTTTGGAGCCGGATCGATCTGCGATGGCCCCGGGTGCCCGACACCAGTCGGAGACGCCCTGTGCGACAAAAGGTGCGACGCCCGGAGCTCAGGCTTCCTGCGCGCTTTTCATTTTCGGTTGCCTCTCGGGGGCCTTTTCGGGGCGTCTTGGGGGCTTTGTCGGGCGCTTTCGGCGCTCGCGCCGTTTCCGCCGTTGTTTTGTGTGTGTGTGGCTTCAGTCAGTACATCGTCGTCGACGGGGAGTGCATCCGAGTGCCAGTCGCTGCCACCAGCATGTCTGCCCCAAGACTGGTACGAGGCTTGTCTTGGCGGTCAGGGTCATCATCCCCCTGTGTTGCCCTCGGCATCGTGGGGGATGGAGCTCAGCAGAGTGGCTCTGATGCGTCCTCGGCGTGCTGTCAAGAGTTGTCGGGCGCCTCGTCGGGGCACCTCGGGGCCTCGTTGCCCCCCCTCCCCTCAGGGGCCTCTGCCTCGGGTGCCACGGGAGGAGCTTCGAGGCGCCCCCGCGTCTGGGGTCCAATGGTTCTGCACGCCGCAGAAATACAATCGATATATCAGACACACACACACATATATCATGCACACGTATGTGTGTGTATATATATATATACATACATATGCGAATCCCCCCCGTAACCAAACCTAGACTCCCAGGATGCAGGGCTTTTGGACCCCCCTGGACGTTTTCGGAAAAGGTCCACCGGCCATTCCAGGCCTCCAAAAGCGCCTTGCCCGGCCGTGCCAGCAGACCCAGAAAGCTCCAAGAGTGGCCTAGATGGCTTTCGAGACGTCATGCCCTCAAGAGGACCCTCCAGAGGCATATTTTTCAATTCCCTTTGGGAAACGTGTGTTTCTAGCATATACGTATCTTTTACCTCGCAGCGTCCACGACTGCCCGAGAGCCTCTCGAAATTGCCCCTAGCCGGCCAAAGAGGCCTTCAAGAGAGCTCCAAGTCGACCCAAGAGGACCCCAAGACAGCCTGAGAGAGCCCCAAGACGACCCAACGTGGGCCCAAGAGGCTCCCAAAAAGCTCCAAGAGGGCCATGGGAGGCCCCCAAGACATCCCAGGACGGCCCGGACGGCCACAGGATGGCTTCAGGATGTCTCCAGGGGCCCCCAGGGGCCTGAAAACGGACCAAGCGGGTCTCAGAAGAACCCGTAAGAAGGCCTGGTGGCGAAAGGCTCGAGAGTCCACAGGCCCGGTCGCGACAGGCTCGAGGGAGCCCACACAGGTTTTCAACACGCGCCCAAGAGGCCTCCAGAGGTCCCCAAAGCCCTTGACCGGGCCAACTTAGGCCACGAGCGAGCCCATGTGACAGCCGTGCGATGGTCCCGAAGCGTAAATATTTTGTACGGCTGCGCGTCGTCGAAAAGGCGTTTTCCTACGAATACTTCGAACTGACCCGAACCCTGGGTTTGCAACAACATTCCCCGGAAATGCACCGCGAACCCGCGATTCGGTGCACATCCCAAGAATGCTTTATTTCCGCGCGCCCCTTTGCGACCCGCTTCTACTTCTTGGCGTCAGAGCGATGCTCGGCTGAGCGTTGCCGTTCGCTGACTACGTGACGATGGCATCCTTGCGCTGGCATTGCTTCGTATTATTTGGCGTTGCTTGATATTGCATTGTTTTGTTTGTCATTCATTCGTATGGCTTCCCACTGCTTCTCATGGGCCAGTGCGCGGGGCGCAGACTGCCACAAGGAGGTACCAGCGACCGGCATGCCGAACTTCAAGGACCAAGGTGCATGGCGCGAAGCGCCAATGCAGTCTTGTACACACACACATATATATAGTCTCTCTCCCCAGTACCCTCATAGCACCTTGATGCCGTGTGCCCGTAGCCGACCCTCGGTCAGCGATGCCCGTAGCAGCATTTGCCCAAGATGTGGGGCCTCTCCGCGAGGACTTCAAGAGGCATAAGTTCGATGGTCAGGTGCGAACAGTGATCGAAGCAAAAGCTCCTGGCTTTCTGAACGTCGACCCTAGCGAGCGCGTCGTCGCCCATTGCATTCAAAGCCTTTGGGGCAAAGCGGTTGCTAACGAAAAGATGCTCTTTCGCGAATGTACCACGAAGGGGAGAAATGATGGACGCATGTACTCCAGAATGTGCGACCGCTGTGACAACGACCAGCAGTGGCGCGAGTCGCAAATGACTCGCATGTACAGTAATCTTTACCGCGCGTGTGACCGCCCGCAGGATAAGCAATGGTGCGATTGGACGGATAGCGGCGATGCTCGAGTGATCGACCCCGATCTACCCGAGGAGCTTGACGGTCAGAACTCATGGACCTCCGAACCAAAGCGGGCCACTATAGAGAGGCGTATTGCTTGCGGCCACATCGCATGCATCGAAAAGCAAGGTTGCATGAGAAAGGTCACCGCGCTTCGCAAAGCGGCAAACTTCAGACACGGGGGCAACCTCTTTCACATGAAGGTGGATTCCCAGGCAAGAGGAAGCTTAGCTGCTGTTCGACCGCTTAGCAGGAAGCCGCAGCCTCCGCCGACCAGGCAGAGGATTGACGAGTAAACTCCACAGCAGCAGGCAGTTGCAACGCGCTCCGTGTGGCCAGCTCCGCGCACTGCTCCGCCGACCAGGCGAGTGCCATGGGCACATGGCGGCTCTGCTGGGCCCGCAGCAGGCCACCTGCTGCTCAGGATCAGCCGCGTGCCCCATGAGGAACAGGCCCGCTAGGCCTGCGGGCGGAGACTCACGCGTCGCCAGCGATGCTTCGTGGAACTACGGACGTGCGGCAGCTACGCGCAAGGACAGCCGTCCACCGCGTCAGCTGCGACGACACGACGAAGTCTGTTTGCCGCAAGCCGCCTGCGACAGCTGAGCATGGAGAGCATGGCCCACGCGAGATGTCCAATACCAGCAGGGCGGAGCTTGCGCCGAGCCAGCGTCCGCTATCACCCGCGGTCGTTTGAAGTTGATCGGCAGCCCCAGTCGCCCAGGCGGGTCTACGATGCCCCGAGCCCAACCAGGGAAAGAGGGCGCGTGTTCCCGAGCCCCACAAGGTTTTGGTCGCGAGCCAGATGGGGTGACTGGTTCGATAATGGCGATTTGGAAGATGCCAGCAATAACTATTGGGATTCGCAACAAGGCAACCTGCCGCTTGATCCTTTTAATCCTGTCTACCGTTCGTTCTCTCTTCTTCGTTTGTTTCTCTCTCTCTCTCTCTATCTCTCTCTCTTTTCCTTTGTCTTTCTAATTTTGATGTATATTAGTTTGCTTGTTGGCCAATGGACACTGGCTTTAACCTGCAACAGTGTCCTGGACATCTTCAGCGCGATCGCCCTGTCGCGCTACTGCCGCTTGCTCTTCGACTCCCGCTGCAGCTCGAGTCCCACGCCGCCAAGAGGTACGTCGCTGACTACTTCGCTAGGCTCCCGAGGCGTAACTTTGAGGAGGCCTCGGGTCGGTTCTTCTGCCGCGCTTGCCCCACTCCCGTAAATGTTGCGCCCCGATGTATTTTTGGTTTCGGGGTTTCCTCCGTCCTCATTTTTTTGTTGCTGGGGGCCCGATGCAAACTGAAGTTAAGAGCCCGCGGCTAGGAGCTCTCATGCGGTGTGTGCGTGTGTGTCTGTGTGTGTGTGCGTCTGTGTGTGTGCGCGTGTCTCTGTGTGTGTGTGCGTGTGTGTGTGTGTGTGTGTGTGTGTGTGTGTGTGTGTGTGTGTGTGTGTGTGTGTGCGCGTGTCTCTCTGTGTGTGTGTGTGTCTGTGTCTGTGTGTGTGTTTGTGTGTCTGTGTGTGTATTACTCCTCGGGGTCGGCGCGCTTTACTTTGAGCGGTGCTCCTGCTGGATTCTGGGAGGTCCTTGGTCCGTTTTTGGTCCCCCCACCCTACCTCTCTTTCCTTTCCCTCATTCCCTCCGAAGATTGGGCCGTGAGGATCGCCGCCAGCTGCTCTTGTACTCGCGAGGCTGCGCCAGGGAAAACACGCGCGCGTCCGCGCGAAGCCTGTCGTCGCCCCGTCTGGCTCATAGCTGGTGGAACTACTTCAACCTTTTATGCTTTGGCAGTGTTCTGACTCCTTGTCGCCTCGGCTTGACCTCCATGTCGATCTAGCTGGAACTGGCCGCCTGCAACGGCGAGCCAAGGCCATCGTTGGCCGAGGCTTCATTTTTTGCCCGACGGCTGGGGCAATCCTGAGCGCAGAGATACGCATTTAGGAAGCCACCCCACTCCATCCGCGTAGCTTTTGCAATCTGCGAACTTCAGGGCCGCAAGTGGTGATGGGGGATGTCTAAGGCGACGCGCACAGGGATGGAGGGTGGGGCGGAGGAGGAAAAGGAGGACGCGAAGCGACGTCTGCTCATATCGGTCCCCCGACCTCTCTTGAGTCTTGAGACCTATCCTGGCACATTCTTGGGCATGCGTCCAGCCGCGCCGACGAGAACATCCAGACTCGTCCAAATACTTCCGCAGCGACGACGGCGAATAGGAGGACGAGGAGGGTGCCTGATGTGGTAGGACGAGGAGGAGGCGAGGGAAGAGAAGGCGTATGAAGGAGAGGAAAATGAGGCGGAGGAGGAGGCGAGGGGAGGAGGGAGTGGAGGAGGAGGCGGGGGCGCAGGAGAAAAACGCCTGAAGTGGGGGATGAGGGGGAGGAGGAGGAGGAGGAGGAGAAACAACAAAAGGCGGGGTGTCTGGTGTCTGCATCTTCTTGGGTCCTATCGCCACTGGCGGCAGCGACAGGAGGAGGTGGCCTGACATCCGACGTCGCGGACACATTGAGACATCATTACATGTGACTAGTGGAGCGCTGGACTCCACCTTCGCGCGCCATGTTTCGACACGGATCGATCCGTGAAGGCCCCTGGGCCCCAAGCAGGGCGACGAAACGCACGGATCGAGCATGTTGAGGCGCCAGGATCTCAGGGTGGTGGTGGTGGTGGTGGTGGTGGCGGCGGCGGTGGTGGTGGTGGTGGTGGTGGTGGGTGCCGGCCGCGACGACGCCGACCGCGGCGGGCGCCGACCTCGGCGACGGGCGGCGACTGCTGCGGCGACGTGCCGTCGAGTTGGGCTAGCAGGTCGGCCCTGCCAGAGCACGGGTGCCCTTCCATCCTGTGCGCAGCGCCCCACGCACTCTGTGTTCCTGGGGCGATGTGGCCCTCGGAAGGGCCTTGTTCTGGGGCGGCCAAGAGATGGGTGACGATTAGGGTCAAGTCGGGCACGTCCCTCTACAGGAGGAATATTCAAAAATAGTCAAAGAATAGTCTGGGGACTATTCTTTCAGTTTGAATATGTGTTTGAGTATTTTTTGAATATGTTTAATTTTTCGTCCAAAATCCGCCTGTAACGAGAGCACGCCTGACCTAATATTAGGTGTGTGTGTGTGTGTGTGTGTGTGGATATCGTGGCCAAGGCCACGAACTTTCCCCAGGTTTCAGGGCACCTCGTCTTGCTGTGATGTGCCCCCCGTGCCCTCCCCTGAACCGCCTACGTGCCTCGGGCTATGATTTGCGAGCCCGCCCCCCTTGTGCCCCCCCAGCCGGTCGGCGGCCCGGGCTGCGGCCACGTTCGCTGGACTGCGTCTCGCCGCTGACTGCCTGCCGGCTCAGTTTCGCAGCTCGGCCTGGGTCAGGGACAGTTGTCCGCAGGTCCAGGTTGCTTTTTAGGGAGGTTGTCTTCCGTGTCAGGAAAAAACTATTATTGGACGTCCCCCTCTTGGAGGCCCCCGAGTTGACTCCTCTCGCGTGTCCTTGGAACCCAGCCCGCACAGTAGTGATGAACGACTTCCAAGGGTTACCCTTTGCAGCCTTCCCCTTCGGCCCATCTTCGGGCCGCTTCCGCTGGCCTCGCGCCGCCCGCAAGGTGTCGACGTGGCTTCCCGAGGCCCTTGCATCCTCATCGCGCGTCCTTCTCACACGGGCTGGCCGTGCAGCCGACCTCGAGTGCACGGCGCCGACCTCGGCGGGCCGGCCGGGGGGCGCCCGCGGGCAGCGGCGGGCCGCCGCCGCCGCCGCCGCGCGCGGCGCTCTCGGTTGCGTCCCCAGCCGCGAGTTTTTCGCAACGTCGAGGGGCCCCTCTCGAGGTCTGGACCCCTTCCCTGGGGCCGGTTTCTCGTCCTCAGTCTTGTTTTGACGGCCCCACGGCCCGGTGAGGGCCCCCGGAGGCCGAGAACAGTGAACGACCTCCCGGCTCGATTTTTCGCAGCGCGAGGGGGTCTGCGTCGGGCCGCGCCGCGACCCCGCGGCACGGAGCGCCGCTGACCGCGGCGACGGTGGCGGCGGCGACGCACGGCGCTGACCTCGGCGGCGGCGGCCGCCCGAGGCGCCGCCGCCCTGCAGGCGCAGCGGCGGCAGGCCGAGGAGCGCCGGGCGCGGGCGGCCGCCACAGTGACGGAGTCGCAGGCCCCGCGGAGCTTTTGGGGGGAGGGGGCGGGCGGGGGCTCGAGCCGAGTCCCCCTCCTCCTCCCCCTCCTCCTCCTCCTCCTCCTCCTCCTCTCCTCCTCCTCCTCCTCCTCCTCCTCCTCCCTCCTCCTCCTCCTCCTCCTCCTCCTCCTCCTCCTCCTCCTCCTCCTCCTCCTCCTCCTCCCTCCCCCTCCCCCTCCCTCCTCCTCCTCCTCCTCCTCCTCCTCCTCCTCCTCCTCCTCCTCCTTCCCTCCTCTCCTCCTCCCTCCTCCTCCTCCTCCTCCTCCTCCTCCTCCCCTTCCTCCTCCTCCTTCCGCTCCTCCTCTCCCTTCTCCTCCTCCTCCTCCTCCTCCTCCTCCTCCTCCTTTCTCCTCCTCCTCCTTCTCCTCCCTCCTCCTCCTCCTCCTCCTCCTCCTCCTCCTCCCTCCTCCTCTCCTCCTCCTCCTCTCCTCCTCCTCCTCCTCCTCCTCCTCCTCCTCCTCCTCCTCCTCCTCCTCCTCCTCCTCCTCCTGCGCCCCCATCGACGAGGGCTCGAGCCGAGGAGAGGCCGAGGCGGGGGCGAAGGCTTTCTGGGGCGCTCTCGTCGGTGCTCGGCGGTCCTCTGGCCTCGGGACTCTCCCCAGCGGCCGCGCCTCACCGAGGGCGTTCTGGGGGGGCCCAGCTCGCCCCAAACGGCCGCCGGAGTGCTATTTCTGGGCTGGCGGCCTTGCCCCGATTTCGGCTGCCGGGGGCCGTGCTCGGGGCCCTGTCCCGGGGCCAGCGGGAAACGGCTCCAGGACGAAGAGCTGCTCCCGGAGAAGCGGTCGGGCCAGGGAAGCGGCCGGGACCTCTCGGGGCCGCGCGCTGGACAGGTCACGTCGGTGGGTGTCGGGGAGCCACGGCTCGGTTGTGAGCGCAGGCGCGGGTGGGCCGTGCGGCCGCGGCAATACAGAGGGCGGGACCGCCACGTGGCGGCACAGAAACGCCCACCAGACGGACAGACCCACGCCGATGCGCCGAGACTTGTGGATGCCACGGCAATGGACACCCTAACAGTCCTATCTTTGAATTTAACATGTGTTTAAAATGTCGGAACATATTCTAAACATGTTTTCAACCTGCTTTTAGATGTGTAAGACATGCTAAACATGTTGTAGGCATCTGGAAATTATTTGGCAACATGCTTCCTCTCGGTTGATCGTCCTCTGCAAGCCGAGACCCCCCCGCGCTCCCCGATGCCAAGTGTGGAGAACGGCGGATGTCAGGGTCCCTCAGGGGGGCCGCCGGGGGCTCGAAGCTCCAGGGCTCAAGCGCAACGGTGTCTGGGCGGCTTTGTGGGCCGTCTTCGTTTTGATGCCGATTCGCAACAAAGGCAGCGCGAGGACAGAAGGAAGGAACACGAAAACACAGCACGAAACGCACTGTTCAGCTCCAGCCCTGCGAGGCTCGTCCTCCCTGACCCGGGCGCCAGAGCTCCTCCCCCGCCCTCGGGGGCCCCTCCTTCCTCCCCCCCCTCCCCCTCCTTCCTTCTCTCCCCCCCTCCCTCCTCATCCTTGCCTCCGATGATGCTGCTCCCCTCCCCCCCCCCCATTGGCTGCATCCTGGGGGTTTCCTGGGGCCCGCCCGGGGGGGCCTCCCGAGGGCCCCCTTTGGAGCGCGACGGAGTTCTTGCGAGGCCGTCCATCGGACCGATGGTTTTCCACCGAACGGTGTGGAGCGAAGCATCCTGCGGGACGTGCGGGCGGGTCCTCGGGCTGTCTTGGGGGAGTGGTCGGTCTCGCTCCTCCTCCTCCTCCTCCTCCTCCTCCTCCTCCTCTTCCTCCTCCGCTCAAGCAACTTGGGCTCGAGCGCCATTGTGGCATCCAACGCCCAACCTCGCGCCTCCACGTGGTGTTTGGGGGGCTGCGCACTCTCTGTCCACCCTTTTCGGACGGCCAGTTGCATAGGCGAAAGCGAGGCTTCGCACCTGGACTCATGGCCGAGGCATGGAGTACATGTGCAAAATGCGGCACTCACGAGTACAACGAGAAGCTTCTCGCCAACTCGGGGAAGTGGGGCACATGCAGGTGTCCAGTCAAGTTGTACAGGCCCAAGAAGGGCGCAGCTGCTCAGTTTGCTCAGCCAGTGCTGCAGAACACGAAGGGGTCGGTCGGGGACCAGGCGGCAGCGGCTACGTCCACCATCCAGGCGCTCTCCGCCGCGATGGCCAAGGTGACCGACCCAGCGAGCAGGAGGGTGCTGGCGGAGCAGATCGAGGTGATGGAGCGCGGGCCGCAGGCGGCGGCCCAGCCTCCCGCGGTCTCGCCGAGCGAGGCGGTTCGGCGAGCCGACGGCGCGCGGACGGACGCCAAGCAGAAGCATGTGCAGGCGAGCGCGGCCGTCACCCGCTGCCAGGAGAACCTCGCGGCAGCGGTGAGGAAGGAGGAGGATGCAGCTCGCGCGCTGGCGCTGGCTGAGATCAGCAAGCGCACGGCGGCGGTGGCTTTGGCTCGCGAGGCGGGCGTGGCCACCACAGGTGGCAATGTTGGCGGCGGGGTTCCTCTGGGTGGAGGGGGAGCTGAAGCAGATCAGCAGCTTATGATGAACGTGACGTGGGATGAGGAGTTTTTTTTTTTCCAGCAGCTCGAGACGCTGGAGTGCACGGAAGGTGAGGGGCAGGAACTCAAACAGGTAGAAGCCGGGCTGAAGGCCGTCAGGGAGAGCGTCATCAGCAAGGCCGACGAAGTGCTGAAGTGGAAGACCCAGGTGCTCGACCTCAGGCAGAATGTGAAGGAGCGCTTGGACAAGAAGCGGAAGCCCGACGGCGACAACGGCGACGTTGCTGGCTCGGGGGCTGGCGGCGCCAACGGCGGCGGTGGGCAGGGGCAGGCGACAGCGGCCTCCTCAGGGAGTGCCGCGGCGGCCCCTGCCCACGCAGCCCCACAGGCGGCGGCGGCAGGCGCGGCGCCAGCAGCGGCGCCCCCAGGCGCGCCATCGGAGGACGAGATCAAGATCGAGATGGAGCGCATCAGGGCGGCTGCGGCGGCCGCCAAGGAGGCAGCAGAGGCGGCCGCAGGGCCGCCCCCTGGGGCGGACGCGCCCGCCGCTCCTGAGTGAGGTGCCTCGGCGGCGGCAGGCTCCACGGCGTCTGCTGCCACAATGCCGCTGGAGCCGTTCTTGGAGGAGATGCTGTCGGAGGGCAACGGCGACTCGTCTGCGTGCATGTTCTACAGTAGTGTCACCACGCTGGGCAGCAAGACCTGGGGCTATCTCAGCTCTGAATCGACGCTGGCCAAGTATGAGTACATCGGCGTGGTGGAACCTCATATTGGGGCTCATGCGCGGGCAAAGTGGGCTCGCCGAGCACGGGCGTTGCAGCTCAAGTATTTCGACAATCCTGCGAGGCCGACCGGTCGAGGCACCTCGAGGGCGACGGAGGGGCGCGCCTGCGAGGGCGGGGGGGTCATGTTGGCTCGTGGACATATTTCAGCTCATCGTGTTTTTGACAGGCCGCGTGAGAGCGCTAGTAGCTCTTGTGCCGATGGCTCAGACGCTCTCGACGGGTTCATGCCCACACTGGTGCATCTGTGCGGTTTCTCGTTGCTCGTGGTATTGTTTTATGCACACCCGTCGGTAGAATTCCCAGGCATCAACTCGGCAAGGTACGCTAAGTTAGGTGCATGTCTGTCCTCAGTTAAGTTGCCCTGGCTTGCCATCGGAGATTTAACATGGATTTGGCAAAGTTTCAGGGATCCGCATTTTGGCGTCGCGTCGGGGGCGCGATGCGTCGGGCGGATATGGAATGCACGTGCATCGGGCGTGCAGGTAGCTCTCACATCGATTTCGTCATGGCGTGCGAGTGTTGTCTTCCTTACATTCGCAGTCTCACCCCAGTTGTTGACACTCCATGGGTTCCCCGCATCGGACTAGAGTTGCGCCTGAAAGGCCCAGGACAACAGTCGCTTTGCAGATCGTTGCTCGTCGCTCCCAGACCGTCTCAAGCACCGAGGCCGTCTGTTGCTGCCACAGTTGGGCCGAAGTCCAGGGCCAAGAAGCTCGAGCGGGCCGAGCGCGCGCAGAAAAAGAAAGAGCGGCTGATTAGCGAGTGCGATCAGCTGTACGGTGACATTTGTTGCCAGTAAACCCACCCCTGAGCCTGGGCCTCCCGAACCTGGAGATCTCGTCCCCTCCGCTGGCGGTCTCGGTGGTTTTTTTCGTCGCAGGTCGATCCTCTGGGCGAAGGAGGCTTCGAGGGGCTTTTTGAGGCGGAGGAAGAGGGCCCCCGGGCCGACGAGTCCTCGTTTCAACCAGCCTCTAGAGTTCCAGTTTCTTCAAGTGATCCTCCTGGAGGAGGTCCTGCAATTCGGAGTGCGGGGGAAGAAGCCCCCCCCCCCCCCTCCCTCTCTCCCCCAGCCGAGCGCCCTCGGAACGACGGTCCCCTGGAGGGGGTTGGCGATCTTCTCTCCTGCGCCGATGCCGATGCTCCTCCTGCCCCCCTCCCCTCTTTCGCCATCCCCTCCTCATCGTGGGTGGCCGCTTCGTCTCAAGTCCCTTTGGCTGCACGCTACGCGCGAAGTGTCGGCGCCTATTCGTCAATCGCTCGCCTTCCAGTCTGGCGCGCAGCATGTATTGCCCATCAGTGGGGCTTTCTCTCGGTGGGTGGCAGCTACAGAGATGACCATCGCCAATCATCATAATGCCGGAGCCCCAGATCGGACTCGGGCAACAGGGTGCGAGCTTCGAGTAGTTTGTCAAACAAGCCGAACACGTTCGGCAAGAGCCGCTCAGAGATGGCATGTCCACGTGGTGGTCCAGGATACACAGTATTGTTCAGCGGGCGCTTCGTCATCGCAGGCGTTGCAACGGCACCGTGCAGTTAGGCTACTTGGCGGCAGCGGCCGCCAGACTGGCGGACCAGCCCGTCGACGGGGCAGGCGTGGCACTTCCTGCGCACCTCGGCTCGTGGCAGGGCCTCCTGCAGGACCTCGGGCGCGTCATCGACGTCGAGGAGCTAGGCGCGCTGGAGGAGAGAACTTTCAGAGCCTCGAGGCGCGCGCAGAATCGTGCTGCTGCAGCGTCTTTGAAGGATTTTCAGCAATGATTCAGCGGTCTTGACCCACAGGGGCAAGTCTTCAGATCGCTGAAGGATCCTGATCCAGAACGGGACGAGCTTCATGATGCCGACGGCTCCGTCAGAGTGCACCCCATGGACATAGTCGATCGCAAAGTCGTTCGGTACCATAGGCCATGGCACTCCGGGGTCACTACTTGGGACGGAGTGTTGGCTACGATGGAGACGATCAGGAGCAGGGCACAGGTGGGGCAGCTCGTGCCCTTGGAGATTCCTGATGTTCGGGCTGCTCTGTCGCGCATGAAGGCCCGAGCGGGTCTCGGCATCGACAGGCTCTCCCCGACGGACATGGAGAGATTGCCCGACGGACATGGAGGGATTGCCCGACGAGGGCATCCAGAGCCTCTGCGACCTTCCGCATGGTCGAGGAGGGCCTCTCCTGGCCGTGGCAGGTCATGTGCGTGGTCGGGAAGCTGCTCGGCAAGAAGTCGGGCGGCGATTGCGTCATAGGACTGATCGCCATGCTGTGCCGCGTCTGGCCCATGGCCAGAGAGGTGCAGATGAAGGGGTGGTCAGCATCCCAGGCCGAGACTGACCACTGGGACGCGGCCACCGTGGGAAGCAGTGCCCTGCTGGAGGCATTCGTGCGGGCGTTGCAGGACGAGGTTCGCTCTCGACTGGATATCCCGCATGCCCCGACGGTGGTCGATAGTGCATCGTCTTACGATCCCATCGATTGGGGGCCTCTAGCATTGTGCGCTCTGCGCAAAGGTTTCCCAGCTGTCATTTTGCATTTAGGACTCCAGATCTGCCTAGCGCCCCGCATGCAAGAGCATATCGACTCTTTCAGTGAACCGTCTCAAGTGACGCGCTCAGTGGTGCAGGGGCTGCGGGGCGGCACGCGCATCGCCAAGTGCCTCGCAGCATATGTATGCCAGCGCCTTTGCTGGGCGCGCGTGTCGCTGAGCGAGCGCACCTGGATCGACGATTCATCCCAGCGTGTAGTAGGGTCGAGACAGCATGGACGGTCGACTCCCATCAAAGGCGCGCTGTCCACGATCAGGCTTTTTTTTTCCCAGTTGCAGTTGTCCATCGCCGACAAGAGCGTCGTGCTGTGTTCCCACCACAGCGACGCTCAGACTGTCGAGCGCGTCCTCAGGAAGAAGGGCGTCACGCTGCGCGCCGTGCTGCAGAGTGCCTACCTGGGGGTGGACGTGTCCTGCGGCAAGCGGCAGGGCCGCGCGGCGGTCAGGCAGAGGGCGCTCAAGTCCAGCAAGGCGCACGGGCGGCTACGGAGGTATGCCCAGGCCGCCAGGCGCTGGGCGATCTCGGCCAAGCTGCAGCGAGCGGGGCCGCAGGCGGCAGCTGTCTACGGGCATCACGTGCACGGGTTCGGCTCGGTGCTGCAGGCGCAGCGTCGTAGGCTCGTCGCGGCGGCGGGATCGGCCAAGCGCGGTCGGTGCCTCACGACGTTGCTGACCCTTAGGCTTCCAGGGAGCGGCCCTGGTGTGTTGCTTCCACGACAGTGCCTATCTCAGCGGCTGAGTGTGTGGTTGTCTGACCCTCAGATTCGGCCAGCTATTGTGCGAGCGTGGCCACGTGCCGTGCTCATCTTTCTAGCTTGCCAGTCGGCCAACGAGTGCGTCACATTCGAGGGCCGGTGACGACGGCTATCATGTATTTACTGGAGGCAGGGTGGACGCCGACCTCACCAACTGAATGGGAAGTGCCGCGCGATGGCTCCTCGACGTCGCATGCATGGCTGTTCCACGGCAGTGATTTCGAGGCGCTGGATCAAGCAAGACCTCTTCTGGATGAGTTTCAGCGGGCACGTGAACTTCAGCAGTGGCGAGTGGCAGCAACGCAGTTTTGTGGCGAGGGCGTCGCCGAGGGCGTCGACCTCGCATCGCTGCAGTCCATGACTCACGACCTGCAGGACATCAAGAAGGGCAGGCAGCTCGCGGAGCTGCTCGTGTCCATCGCGACGGGCGGCTACTGGACGCGCGAGAGGAGCTTCCAGGCCAGCCTGCGCAGCTCGTCGGACTGCCTTCGGTGCGGAAAAAGGACCAGGGACACCCTTGCACAGATGTTGGACCTGTGAGGCTAACGCCAGCTCCGTGTCCAAAGCGCATGCTGATTCTGATTCTAACGATCTTATCACCCAGGCTATTTCTGAGTCGGAAGCTTTATCGTGTTTTTGGATGAGGGGCTTCGTCCCTTCCTCCTGGACGGCGCCCCCCCCCCCCCCCCCTTCCGAAGAGGCCATTCTCGGAGGCAGCTGGCTCGGAGGCTCTATGGCGGTAGGTTGTCTAGGTGCTGGCGCTTCTCAGGAGCCCCTGGTGCTGTTTGGGGACGCGTCAGGGGGTAAAGACACGCATGGCTCTAGGCTCCGTAGGTCTGGACTGGCTGTCGCCAAGATGGAGTCTTATGACCCTCGTACTTTGGGGCCTTTCATTATGGGGCCGCTCCCTGGGGCCTCTCAGAGCGTCCCGAGGGGCGAGCTTTTAGCTTTTCTCTGGGCCCTCCGATCTACGGTTGGGGTGCTCGTTTACGTGACCGACTGTGCTGAGGTTTCGAGGGGGTGGTACTCCGAGCTTTTCCGCATACCTGAGGGGCCACAGGCCGACCCCTGGAGAGAGGTTGGCAAGCTCCTTCAGCGGCAGGCTCGACACCCGACCAGTATAGTTATTATGCAGGCTCCTTCGCACCTCAGTCCTCGAGAATATCTTGCTCGGGGGATCCCGAATTGGCTCGTGATTGGCAATGCTTGTGTTGACGTCCTTGCTGGTGAATCAGCCGCGCACGCGCGTGTTTCCCAGGCCAGTCGCCATCGAGTTATGACCATCGAATACAAAGCCATGTTAGTTCGGAGGCGGCTGTTAAGAGCAGGGCTCGACTCAATTCGGGCCTGTCAGAAGTCGGGGGAAGCTGGGGCCCCAGCGCGGGCTGGTCCTCCTCCTCGGCCTCCTCCTCCCCCTGTTGCGGTTGCACGCTTCGCGTCATCCCACTCCCTGACCAAAAGTGGTAGGGCGTGTAGTGTGTGTAGGGACTCTGCGACCAAAGCTGTCTTGTCGGAGTGGCTAAAAAGTGAGTGCTTCCAACTCCTTCATGTGAATAGTCGGATTGCCCGAATTACAAGAGGACGACGTTTACACTTGGCTGGGGGTTGGACCCATCCCACTCACGTTTTGACTTATCATAAATACTTTCAGATGTGGTATTGTGGCACATGCGGGTTCTACGGTCAAGCCCGGCTCAGGGGGCTAGCGGAACCGTGCAAATTGCCCATCTCGAAGGCCAGGCGCGAATATCTTGATAGGATTGGATGCGGCCTGTTTCCGAAGTGCTGAGCGTTAAGCCTTGTTATCACTACGTGATGGCGGAAATCCTGGAAAATCCTCCTCCTCCTCCTGGCAGGCTCGGGTCGCCTTCTGAGGGGGGTCTCTCGCGGAGCAGCTCTGGGACTTCTTTTGGGGGCCCCTCGGCTTTCTCTGAAGCTTTCCCGCAGCGATCTGGTGCCGAACAGCCTCAGAAGCAACAGCCGTTGAGTTCTAAATGAGTTCAATGCCATGCGTTCGACGCCGTTCGGTTCCTATGGCTTCACAGGGGCCTCTTTGGGTGTCCCCAGGAGCCTTTTTGGTGCCTCTTGGGGCGTGTTGGGGACGTCTTAATTAGCGCCTTCGGTGGCTCGTTGGGTTTGCCTTCGGATGGCCATGGAGCGTCTTGTGGCCGCTTTGGAACATTGGAGCTGCCCGCCGCAGTCTCGGAGACGCCTGGAGGCCGAGAAGGAGCCCGAGCAGCAAAACCGAGGGAGGTGCCTCGAGTTGCGATGAGATGGGAGGTCCGCCCTGGAAGCGCTGCGGTCGCAAACTTTCGGTCAGCGTGCCGCTCCGCCGGTTCTGACCCACCGCGCTTCGGCGCGACACGCCATCCACGTCCTGGTCCCCCGGCGTCCTCCCCAGCCTCCCACATGGAGCGACAAGCTGCCCGCTTGCAAGGCACGGCTGGTCGCCGTGTGGCCGCCGTCGCGACGCGCTGTGCAAACGTTCCGGATCTCGACGGCGAAATCCGAACCCTACCCTCGCCCATCAACGATTCAGGGAACTCGATGGGTGGCGGGTGTAGGGTTTGGACTTCGTCGAACTCGTGGCGAGACCCGAACCCTACGCCCACCTCCCATCGGTTCAGGAGAATGGATGGTTGGTGGGGGTAGGGTTCGGATGCCACCGAGGAGATGGACGAGGAGGAGGAGGAGGAGGAGGAGGAGGAGGAAAAGGAGGAGGGAGGCGGGGAGGATTAGGAGGAGGAGGAGGAGGAGGAGGATGGAGGAGGAGGAGGAGGAGGAGGAAGGAAGGAGGAGGAGGGAGGAGGAGGAGGAGGAAGGAGGAGGAGGAGGATGGGGAGGAGGAGGAGGAGGAGGAGGAGGAGGATGGAGGATGGAGGATGGAGGATGGAGGAGGAGGAGGGGCAGGAGAAGGAGGAGGAGGAGGAGAGACCTCGGGCGACAACTGGCGCGCATCCTGGCGCGCCCCAGCGTGCCGCTGGCACGGAGGTGGGCAGCAGGGGGTGCCCTAACGCCGTCCCCCGCAGGTGGAGGTGCTGTCGACCGCGATCAACTTCGCCCTGGCTCGCGTAGGACGGCTCCGGCAGCAAAGGGAGGCTCAGAGCGATGGGCCCAGGGATGAGGAGGAGGAGGAGGCGAAGGATGATGATGATGTAGATGATGCTGATGATGATGATGATGCTGATGATGATGCTGCTGCTGATGATGATGATGATGATAAGGAGGATGCTGCTGATGATGATGATGATGATGATGATGATGATGATGATGATGATGGTGGTGGTGGTGGTGGTGGTGGTGGTGATGATGATGATGATGATGATGATAATGCTGATGCTGCTGATGATGGCGATGTCGATGATTTGGAATATGCTGATGCTGATGCTGATGATAATGATGCCGATTATGATGATGCTGATCTTGATGATGATACTGATTTTGATGATGGTGATGGTGATGGTGATGGTGATGATGATGATGATGGTGGTGATGGTGATGATGATGATGATGATGATGATGGTGATGATGATGATGTTGATGATGCTGAGGATGATGATGTTGTTGTTGATGGTGATGCTGATCCTCATGATGGTGATGCTGCTGCTGCTGATGATGATGATGCTGGTGGTGATGAGGATGATGATGATGATGATGATGATGATGGTGGTGATGATACTAATAATGCTGATGCTGATGCTGATGCTGATGCCGATGCCGATGCTGCTGCTAATGATGATGAGGAGGAGGAGGAAGGAGGAGGAGGATGAGGAAGGAGGAGGAGGAGGAGAAGGAGAAGAGGAGGGGCCATGATGTCTTGAGCCAGATACAGGGAGGTGCTGCTGCAGTGAGGCTGCCGCAGGTGGTAATACCATCGGCGTCCATCAGCGCATAGGGAGGGCCTAGGGAGGGATAAGGAGGAGAAGGAGGAGAAGGAGGAGGAGGATGAGGAGGAGGCCACTTGATCTTATCCAGCTGCCCGCGGCAAGTCCCGCCGTTGCAGCCCAGCCGGAAGGAGGCTGAGTTGTTTGAATTGGCGCGGGTCCGTAGCCTGGACCGCTTCTTGGGCGCTTCTTGGGGGCTCCTTTGAGCCTCTCGATGGCCTCCTGCACCCTGTCGGGGACTTCCTGCGACCGTGTTGGGAGCCCGTTCGGCTGGGGGCCCATCGGCGGTCCGTGGGCCACCTTGGGCGCGAGGGTTCCACAGACGTCTTGGAGAGGTCGTGAAACTTGCAGGTGGCTCAAGAAAGTCGAAGATGTTTCAATATAGCCGCCTTACCTCCAAGAGGCCCCGGGACAACCCCAAGACGGTTCCAAGTGCCTTTCGAGCCCTCCGAGAGGCACCCTGCAAGACCAACATCCGCCGATCCGGCGCATGAGTTTCAGAAAGCGTGGGCTTGAGCTTCGTTTCAGCTCCGCTCTGAAGAGGGGGGGGGGGGGGCAATGCAGCGCTTTCCAGAGTGGGGGGCCCTGGTAAGCTCCGCCTCTGGTGCTCTCGCCTGAAGAACCCCTGGCCCAGCTCGGGGCAGGTTCGAGACGGGGCGACGGAAGCGGAGGAGGAATCGCCTTCGCGGCTCAGGCCTGGTCGCGTCTCGGCCGGGCTTCTCTCCTTCCTTCCGCAGGGGGTCCCCCTTCGCGGCGGCCCTGCAATGTGTGGACCCTTGGCGGCGCATGGAGGTCTTCCTCTTTTCCGCGCCCGCCTTGCCACTAGAGCCCCTGACCCCTTCCGACTCGAGTACGGCTAGCACTTGGGTGCAACTGGTACTAGAGCGTGTACTAGCGTGCAGCTGTTACAGTACAGCCAGTACCAGAACACAATCAATGCAACCAGTACTAATCCAGTACAAGTACTACTCGAGGGAGCAGGGAGCAGGGAGAAGGAGGAGGAGGACGATGAGGGAGGATATGGAAGATGGAGCAGGGAGCAGGGAGCGGGGAGGAGGAGGAGGAGCAGGAGGAGGAGGAGGAGGAGCAGGAGGAGGAGCAGGAGGAGGGGGAGCGAGGAGGAGGAGGAGGAGGAGGAGGAGCGAGGAGCGAGGAGCGAGGAGCGAGGAGGAGGAGGAGGAGGAGGAGGAGGAGGAGGAGGAGCGAGGAGCGAGGAGCGAGAAGCGAGAAGCGAGGAGCGAGGAGCGAGGAGCGAGGAGCGAGGAGGAAGAGATGGAGGAGGAGGAGGAGAAGGAGGAGCGAGGAGCGAGGATCGAGGAGGAGGAGGAGGACCAGTGTAAATTCAAGAGTCATCAACGATGTTGGAATTAACCCTCCCTCCAAGTTTCCTCTTCACAGGCTCCTACAACGGTTCATATCCATTGAGGGAACTGCCTCGTTGGAAGAGAACTTTTTGAAGATCCTGAAGCATACCAAAACATTGTTCTTGGGATTTCAACGCCACGTATCAACCTGATTGCTGCGTCTTGACGATCCGGAATTGTGCCAGAGCTCTATCTTTGGACTTCAACACCGCGAATCAACACTATTGTTGCGCCCGCATAATCCTGAATCCAGCCAAAACACTTATCCTGGTACGTTGATCATGGGAATCCGTGAAACTCGTGCAAAGTTGAAAACGAATTTGCGCGGCGCTAAGGCGAGAGCCACATGTTGAAAAGGAGCCACCCTCAATTCGTGAAGGTCTTGGAATTCTGTCA